ATTGAGTGGGTTCAAAAGTATTTCTCGAGAAGAGTACTCCACTCCTCTACTTACAATAGTATTCCCTATGCCTCCAGGCTTGAAATTTTGGGCTTGGACAATCTTGAACTGCACTGCCTGCAGACCGATCTAAGCATCGTTCACAAAATTGTCTGCTATAACATCTTGCCCGTCAATAACTTCTTCAGCTTCAATAACAATAATACACGGGCAAACAACCGTTACAAACTCAAAGTGAACCGCTCCAAACTAGATTGCAGAAAATATGACTTCAGCAACAGAGTGGTACCCGACTCTGTTGTTACAGCCTCAACCCCTCAGAGCTTCAATCTCAAACTGTCTATCGTGGACCTCACCCCATTCTTAAGAAGTCCTTAAAGGGGGCATGCATAAGCACACCAGCGTGCCTACCATCCCTGTCTTACTGTCCCCATTTATCTGTATTTACTTTCTTTGTTCATGTTTATGTTCATACCTATACTTGTTATCTTGTACATGTTTGACAAATAAATAAACAAACAAACAAATAAATAAATAGTCACCAGGCCCAGTTCAGAGGGTCAACAAGGGTCTGCCTATGATTTTTAATGTAGTTAATTTTTGTATTCATTACTTTGTGGCAACACTTTTTTAATGCAAATTTTGACACTGACTGAAATTTTGACTATCCAGGATCTTCAGAAATAGATGACATAGAAATCAAGCAAGCAAGACAGACAGACCTAAGATTAGAATACACAGGTCATATCACTTGCAGCAGATCAGTAAGGTTTACTAACTCCCAACTTTTTAACAGTAACAACATATGATTTTCATGGCATAGGGCCCTGTTGTCTTCAAGACTGCCAATCTCCAATTGTTTCTACCCACCTTTATACATGTGGGCTGAGTGGATAGACTCCAGGTCCCCTCAACTAACTTCTCATCGTGTGTGTGTGTGTGTCCTCCTGTCATGTTTTATTACTTTTTTTTTAGTCTATGCTGTCACATTTTATTATTTTAAAACACATAACATTTTACATGTTTGTTTTTTGTAAGTCACCCAGAATGTATTGGAGTAGACAGTGATAACAAATGTAATAAATAATACTGATTAACTTTAAAAATTAGAATTTCAGAAGCAGATTATTGCACAAAACAACTGGATACTCCGTTCACTTTTGGTAATGAAAATAAAAATTCCCAGGCTCACAATATACTTAGTAACTAATCTAATGTAGAGAAACCAATTATTGTTCACAAATAGACCATTTTAAGAGAAAATTCAACTCACTTAAGAAAGCTGGCTCTCTGAAATTATTTTAATAAACATAGCACTAACAAAATTGGACAAGATATTGCATATCAATATAGCCAACTTCAACCAAACATCAACCAGATGGTTTAGCTATTTGTTAAATGTTTGGCTTCCACTTTGATAAATAGAGTAGTAAGCAATTAAAGACAGCTAAGAGGACAAAAAAGGTTGATCTTGAATAGCATATAGTTGATGGATCTAAGTAGAGATACTGTAGATGTGACATCTTGAAATAATAACTCCCAGTTTTCTTTAAACTGGTGTTTAAAGAAAACTGAACAAAGCAAAGTCATTGCTGGGACATTTAAGAACTTCATGGCTTATCACTCTCAATTCTATACTTTGATTTGGAAAGATATCTGTGAAATTAGAACCAAGAAGAAATAAACAAAAGTATCCTTAGTCCAACATGGTTCTGAGCATAATTCAGCAACCAAACAAACCAACTGCTACAATTTTAGCAAAGCAAGAAGTTTTTAGAAAGGCCAGAATCAGTCCACATCATTCCTATGCATATCATACTTAGATGACCTTTAACACAGCATCTATATAAAGCAAAAACTGTTTAACTTTTACCTTATTCAATTAACAAAACTTCCCAACCAATTTTCCACAAGAGAAGCTGCGTAAGGACTTTATTTAGACAAGCCAAAACACCCTGCAGAAACCCAGAAAAGTAGAAAAAGGAAATAGAGCATCTATATACAATATATTCCAACAAAATGGTTATTCATGCAGCTTTATCAAAAAGTCCCTAACTACTCAACCCAATATAGCACAATCAACACAAACCCTAAAAAGAATTATACTGCCATACATCAAGAATAACTCAGAAACCACCAACAGACTACTATAACCATATGGAATCAGCATAGCAAGCCAACTAACATCCAAAGCCAATGGTGGCTAACCTTTTTTGTCTCCTATGCTGAAAATTGTGCATGTGTTCAACCGCTCGCACTCTCATGCCAGCACCCAGAAGGCAATGAGCGTGCTTCCCTCATGCCCCCTGTGCATGTGCGTGTGACCCCCCCATGCATGCTGTGTGTCTCTGCGCATGCGCCTACATCTCCCGCACACACCCCGCCCCCTGTGCATGTACGCCAGATACCCAACAATTAGCTGTTGGGCAGGCAGCGCGTGCACATGCGCAGTGGGGCTCTTCTGGGTGACTTCTCATAGGCTGGCAGAAGTGGCTCTACGTGTCACTTCCAGCAAGTGTGCCATAGGTTCGCCATCACGGTCCTAAGCAAACCAAAAGACCCAACAACCCCAGAAGAAATAACATGAGTTATCTACAACATACAATGTAAGAGACTGCAACAACCACTATGTAGGACAAACAGGCAGAAGACTGACAGAGTCTATCCACTAACACCAACTAGCAGTCAGAAGACATGATGATTTTTTTTAGACAGATTTAACCATAATTTCAATAGTGTGACCATCCTAAACCAAGCCAAGTCCAAAAATGCTAGGGAATTTCTAGAAGCCTGGCACTCTGACAAATCAGCCATCAATAAACACATAGACATTAACAACATCTTATAGACTATATAAAAGAGACTATCACCCAGCCCAAAAACAAACAAAAAGACCCAACCTCCACTCTACTAGCAATCAGCACCCAGATCAGCATAGATTAATTCTAAGGTTAACATTAGACCAACAATAAAGAAAACAATATCCCAATCAAGAAACTGCCAAAGGAGCCAACAGCAAACAGCCCAATCAAAGAATCCCTAAGAGAACACCCACCAATACTGACAGACAAGCCAGTAGACTAGAATATAAACTGACAACAAACAGCACTTCTTACTACCACTGTTGATGCTACCTAGTTTGGGTAATGAAATATCTGCAAGAAAACAAGCAAGCTGAGAGAGCACCAAGGACTCTTAATGTGACACACCTTTTCAGATCCCACCTTTTGGGGGAGGGGGCATTGGAAGTGAGAGAGATAATTAAGATTCACTCTGCATACACTAAAAGAAATTAGTAACAGTAGCACTTAGACTTATATACCGCTTCATGGTGCTTTACAGCCCTATTTAAAGGGTTTACAGAGTCAACATATTGCCCCCAACAATCTGGGTCCTCATTTTACCAACCTCAGAAGGATGGAAGATTGAGTCAACCTTGAGCCAGTCAGGATTAAACTGCTGGCAATCAGCAGAATTAGCCTGCAATTCTGCATTCTAACCATTGTGCCACCACGGCTCTTACCATTATCATTATAATTAACATGATCACAAGCTGAAATCTTGACACTAAAAACTGCTCCCGGGATAAATTTTGACAATTTCCGATTCCTTTACGCTCTGACACTTTTCTGGGCACAGCCCACTCCTAATTCTGATCTGGAGACATTGTTATAGGCTCCTGACTTCTCATTAGCATCCACAAACATATTTAAAATATTGTATTAATTGTTTGCTTAACCATTAAGAGCTTAGGATGCACTTCTCAGCCTTCCAGGAGATACACTGCTTGTGTGATATATAAAAGACATTATAAAAGGTAATAAAGGTAGAAAACTGGCATTGCATCAACTCTGCATGGGGGAAAGGGGGAATGCAGAAGTAGCATTTACCTAGTTCAGGGATGGGCAACTAGGTTAACTTTATGACCTGTAGACTTTCACTTCCAGAATTCCTGAGCCAGCAGGATCACATGACATCTTTTTGCTATCATGCTCAGAGGTGGAACAGACACCTGCAGATACATTATTCCCAGGTGAACAATATAGGCTATGTTTTTGTAAGCTTAAATCCTAGCAATTAAACAAAATGATTACCTTACTTTCACATCATTTTAAAACTCCCTGGCATGTTATTGTTTCCTTAGTTTTGCTGTTACTGTATATTTTTAACTGCATTTTAGTTTTTATGCTATTTTATGCTTTGAATGTTCTACTGCAAAAAAAATAATAATTACCAATTACCCAAAAAAATGGTAAAGCAAGAAATGCCACAATTTTAGCCTACATCTAAATTGTGCAGGCTGTCATGAAAATCTTCTCCTATAAAGACAAAATGTAGCATTTGGCCATTAATATATAAGAAAAATCAAGATTTCTTTATAACGTTGATCCAATGGTATTTAACAGAAACATTGTCAAATTATCTACCTGTTTATCACATCATAAACAGAACTGGGTATATCTTACAAGCCTACAGTATTGGCTTGTTCGTTTATAAATCATATTTATATGTCTGCCAATCTCACAGAATGTGACTCTGGGAAGCATACAATAAAACAGTAAAACAGCAATATTAAAATAGAATGTTATTAAAACTATTGAAGTTATTATTTAAAAGGCTAAGTGACAGCGTTAGATATTATGAACAATAAAGCCACCTCAAGTGACCCTGAGGATTCAGCCAGGTTAGTTTCCTTTAGGTTTAACCAGCTTTCAGTGTTCAGTTGTAGTTTCTAATAAACGACAGTTGTAAGAGAGCACAGAAAGTCAATGCAGGCCTGTTTCTGTGCACAAAAATTAGATGCATTGAATACATTTTGTTATAGAAAGTGAAAGCTGTAGTTACTGCTAAACTCCAGCAAATAAATGAGAGACCAATTCTGCATATGCTCAAAAGCACACTTCTGTTTTTAATGAGGTCATTTATAAAATGGCTGAGTTTCAGTCTTGAAAATATCTTCTAAGCCTTTGTGAGAGTACTTTCAGCAACAGTAAACTCACCCGCTCCCCATGTTTAGCATCACTGAGGGCTCCTGGTTTCTCATTATCGTCAGCCTCCTGATTGTGTACTGTGTTGGTGGAGCTACCATTCACTGTATTTGGCCCAGTTGCTGCTGCCTCCAGCTGCTGCTGGGGACTTCCTTCTTGAGCATTCTTCACCTCCGAATCTGGGCCCGTCTCTGTCATCATTGTTATTGATTATTCTGCATTTGCAAAGGGAAGATGAAATACATGAGGATGGGATTAAATGGAATTAAAATAAGTTTTTTTTCTCTCAACCTCTAGGGCATATGCCTGTGCCTCCAGGAGCCATCTTGCACAAAAAATTATATAGAGAGTATTCTCTTTTCATAGTTAATCAATCCAACACCTGGATATTTCAATCTCAAGAACCCATTCTGCAGATGCCGCACAGGGATGGGAATTGTTGCAATAAAACATTCCTTCAGGCACAGACTGATACCCACATTTATTATTGCTAAATCTCTGCTTTGATTGAAACTGAAAGGCAAGACTATCTAAAGAACATTATTTTAAATAAAACGCTAAGTTTCCAAAAACAGATTTGTACAGGTACATATGAGTGGAGTGCATGGGGAATTCTGAAATGAATATTACCAGAGGATTTTTGAAAATGGTCCAGGGACTGCACAACACACTAAGGTGCAGATTGCTGAACACCTTTTAATGTAGAACAAGACTACATCTTAGCTTTCCCTCCACGACAATTTTGCCTATGTTTACTGACCTAGAATTGGAGCGAATACTTTTTTTTATAATTGTTCTTGGAATAGCCTTGTGAAGGAGGTTGTTCAGGATGTGGCTTTCCCAAAATCCCCTCACGTAAAATTCCTGTTTTTCAACAATAAGAGCATCCCAGAGCCAAGTAGTTGCCTGATCAAGGTGTAGTATTTTATAGGAATTTTTCTTTTCTTACACTTAAATCTGACATGCTGAAATCTTGCTACCACAAATAGTTATGAATTCCAATAGTCTCTTAAGGTGAAAAGGCAAACTTCCCAAATTAGGTTTCCTCCAGAAATGTTTCACTACAACTGCCATAATCTTCAGTCAGCACTAGACAGGTTCAGGTAGAGCAGGAAAAATGTACACAAAAATATAGTTGTGTTCTACAAAGCCAGATCCTTCTCTTTGTGCTTTATGAACTACAGCATCATATGGAAGCCATGTATCAAACAAGCACCACACCTACAGCTTTGTTGCATGCAACACTAATCTCTCCACCCACAAAATAAAATATATTCCATATGGGTATTAGAATGCAAAAAAAAAAAAAAACACTGATTGCTGAGCTCTGACTGCTAATCTGTCCCTTCTATACATTTTTGTTTGGCTTAACAAGATGCCTAATGTATCTGCACATAAGGGTACAAATGAAGCACTACAGCTTGCACCAAACCAATTACTTTTTCCAAATAACTAGATATTGCTGACTGGTGCCAGCTGAAAATTTCCATCCAACGCAATAGTTCAGACAACACAGCAGATCTCACAGCTTGTATAAGCTTCTGACAATAAAAACAAGGCATAATGAGAGTTTTTCTTCTACAGATGTCTCCTTTGTCTGGCAGACACTCCCATGCCAGTGTTAGTGCAATCTTTCTTTGAAGCTCATGTTAAATCTTCTGGTCTTTCTCCCTGTAACTGAGTCCAGCAGAAGATGAAAGACAACTGCTGTTTATTCCAAGGGTCCCCAACCCTCAGGCCGCAGGCCACTACCAGGCTGCAACCTCTTCAAAACCAGGCTGCATGAGCAATGGGTAAGTGCATGCACATAAAGCTCCACTCGTGTGAGCTGTAGACCCTTACGCTCACCCACGAAGCTCCACTCATGCGAATGGAGGACGCTTGTGCATGAAGCGTCACTAATGCATATGAAGCTCCATTCACGTGAGTCAAAATGCCCTTTGCTCACATGAGTGGAGCTCATGCGCAAACGCAAGTGCCTTCACTCATGTGTGAAGCTGCATTTGCACCAGCACTAGTGCCCTCCATCTACATGAGTGGTGCTTCATAACCAAGCACCCACTGCTTACGTGTGAAGCTCCATTCACCTGAGTGGATGGTGAGTGGAGGGTGTTCGTGCCCATTACTCATACCAATGGAGCTGTGTGCACGCTTGTGTGCCTGCAATTCACCTGCCCCCCCCCCCCCACCAGATCGGACTGCCAATGTGGAAAGGTTGGGGGCTACTGGTTTATGCCAGCTTGGATTCTTCAATTTGGCTGAAATGTTTTAAAAAGTAAAGTTTAATCTGTTTAGAGAAAGCTTTTAAATACTGAAGTCACTCAATACACATTTTGGAAGTAGAAAGAATATTCCACTCTAGTGAGACTAAGTAGAAGAGAAAAAGAGACAGGAGAGACTATTGGCCAGCTGAGAAGCTGCTACTAGCCACAATTTCACATCCCTAACCCCAGTTTTATTATGTTGTCGTTCCCACCAAACAAATGATAAATTTTCAGATATCGAAGAAGTCTCAGTCCAGAATTATTTTGGTTTAAAGTTAAAAACTGGAAAACTTCTCTGAAAGAAATTCATTTCTCTACAATATACAGCCACATTCTTGACTGAGTTCTAATCCACACAGCAAATTCCAGTCCATACAGAGCTAATGTTCTTGTTAATGTCTTACATAAACCATCATATTATCTGAATCATACCCTTGAAAAAGAAGGGTAAAAACGAACTCATGCTTCAAACTAGAAAAAGAATCTTTTCCTTATTCCTCCCAAATATGCAAGACTCATGTAAAAAACAAGTTTAAAGTTTTTTTTCTTTTTTAACATGTGGTCATTTCAATGTTTTATCTTTTTTCAAACAGAATAGAAAGATAAATATGATAAAGGTGACGTTTGGGGAAGCAACGGTGAAGAGGAAAACAGCTCTGCTCAGAGAGAAGCCAATAACACAATGGCACAAGAAGCCAGCATATGGATCCACTTCTTGGAATTCCCCAGACAGGAAGAGGACACCGGATTGTCCACAAGCACTCCAGAAAGCAGCTTCCTGTGAGAAGACCATAAGACAACTATCTCGGGTAGGTTTTAGAACTCTGAGAACCAAAGTCTTGTAACTACAGGTTTTTTAAAAGAAAAGTGCCCTCCAAATAAACTGATGTATGGTCAACTCTTAAGAAAACTTCATCAAGTAAAGCTCAATTCTTGATTAATTCAAGGCCATGAATTATGAAGTTTTCTCAGCAGCAATACATTAATGATTTGTCCATGCCTTCGTCTGAGATGTTTTTCACTTCTCAATCTAGCTGGAATGCAATACATCTGTGCGGTACTTGGTTGAGGAAGACACTGGGATAGGCGATGTTATTCTCTTTCAGATACTATGATGGGTAATCTTTCAGATATTTACAGTACATAGATAGCTTTCACCAATTCTTTAAATGAGAAATGCAAGTAGCAAGATGAGGACTAATAGATACTGCTTGCACTGGGGTTCTGACATGTGGAACTCCATGTTTTTCAACAGTTTAAAGGGTCGGACTCAGCATAACATTTGTCTATGGACCCAAGTATATAATTTTAAACAAACATGCAAAGCTGAATTCCTGACATCTGGCTTCTTGGCAAGTGATTCCCTATATACCCCTAAAAAGCATTAAAATGCTGCCATTTCCTCTCTTTGGCTAATCCTCCAAAACAGGTTGCTGTACCCTGTGGGAAAAGTCCACAGGAAGTGCAGAGAAAGAATTCTGGAGAAACATTTGCAATTTACCATTTATTTATTTGATGTCTATAGCTGCCCATCTCAACAAGGAATTCTTATTTTAGTTAATTAACGACAAGAAAATGTGCCCTCTTAAAACCAAAACACTTTGGTCAGGGACTATTTTTGCTGTAAGATTTCATAGAGTGAAACCACCATGGTTCCTTTACCACAGCAAGTTTTATACACAGCATGCGTTAATTTCACCTAAAATGAGCTTTCTGATGATCCTGTGCAATATTCTAGTTTCACGCTTCAAAACAGCAGTGCAAACATTTCTGAAGGCTGGCTTTCTGCCTAAGGCGTGCCAAGTTGTAATACAAAGATTATTCCTCTACTTTGAAATTGCTTGTTGAACTAGGGAAGAGCATCTTTCTTCCCTCTTTCATTACAGCCCACCACTTTCCATCTTTCTGCTTTTTTTCCTGACTATTATGATATAGAAAGACAGGAAGAATGGATATCATGCCCATTAGCATCAGAATAAACCATGTAGGACTCCATCAGATTGAACTGGAGGAGGAGAAATGGGAAAAAAGGAAGAAAAGAAGAAAAACAAGTTGAAGAAACTGCATGAGTTGTGTCTTTTGACTCACTGAGAGTGATAGATTTAAAGAGTAATTTTGTGGAGTTGTTAGCTGACAGCTTTCTGTTTATTTATCTCAACCCTCAAAAATTTTGTAATGGCTTTCAGAACAATAAAACCTATACAAAAAGAAAGACTACAAGAAGAATTATGGCTGGAATAAAAGAGAAAAATATATAAAGCACTGCACTGCGTACAACTCCATGCAGGTTTTGTCTATATGAAGGGAAACCAACACTTGGTAAATTCTCAAAGGAAACATGTTTATATGTAACAACATTTGTATGTAATCTTTCAAAACAAGACCCTTCTAAGTAGCTTAAAACAGGCAAAAGCATGCTAATTTTTTGCAAAGGGAACCTCAGGAATGCACATCAAAATAATGAAAGCACCTCTGTAACACCAAGACACAAATTAATCTTCTTTTCTACATACATGCAATATCATAATGCATGTACAATACAAGTGCACTTGCTTCACAGCAGCACAATACAACTTTCACCATTTGCCCCCTTGCCCAGCTCTTCCCACAAAGAGCACTGATTCCTGAAATTTCCACCAGTATTTCAAATACCACAAGATTAACCCTGAGCAATTGGGATTTCTACAATGTGAAATAATATTGCTGCAGACTTCAGAAGTAACTCACACCTCTGTATACTTCCTGATATTATTCTGACTTAACAAACATTTCTGCATTTGCATTTCTACATAGGTTTTTAGCTTTTTAATTTTTAGCTTTTTAAAGGTCTAGATCCATCTCTCTCCTTTTTAAGAGTAACAGGGGGAACAGAATGGTTGTCTAATTTTCTCTTTTCAGGGTCCATTTGGGTATATATAAATGTGGCCTTCCTCTTGCCAAAACTCAGGTTT